GGGTCAGAGGACACGATAAACTACATAAAAACTCACTAGTAACATGTATGTTCAGCTCCAGCCCAAGCCACCGTAGGTTGGCATCCTCTCCATAGCAATGTGCGCATGACATTAATGGGTTCATGCCATCCTCAAGGTCCTGCTGACAGCACGTCGGGTTTAGCTTCAGAACAAAGGCCATCAGGCTGTTCCCACACCCAAAAGCCCCCTAGGCCTAGATGCAAGAAGCAGCCCTCGGTCAGCAACACTGCAGTAAAAGATACAACTCAAGGCAAGTACTCAGATGGTCTTCACCTAGGAGACACTTTCAAGGGAAGCCCAAACTGGCACAGCTTCTTTCAAAAGCAGCATCAGCCTGCCCCAGACTTGAATCACATTGCTTTGTCAGCACAAAACACAGAAAAACATGTTACACTCAGTGGAGTTCAGCTCCCAAAGCAAGTCTTGCAAAGCAAAACCATCAGACTAAGTTGGAAGTGTGCATGGCCTTCCCCCATTACTCACTCAAGTGACATGATGAAACCAGGACAATCTGTTATCCTTCCACCAGTTTTTGTGCAAAGTCCCACCAACAATGCTGCTCAGCATTTAGTGCTCAGGCTGCCATCAACTCTAGCGAAAGCACTTCTGAGCAGGTAAGATCAGGAAAACAGAGGACAAACGTGGGCTTAGAACTGCCATGCTTGGCCACTCTCTGCAGGGCCAAGTGGCTGTTCAGGTAGGAGAGAAGGGCGGAAAGTGGGAAAAGCACTTATCTTATTAAGTTATCAGATATGTGGCAGTCTTGAAGCTTAGCAGTAAGGGTTTAATGGGACTGATCAAGGAAACCAGAGTGATTTCTGAAAAGGGGAATCTTTTAGCTCTGACAAGCACTTATCAAGTAAGCATCCAAGCTCTGGCAGATGCAGCAGACCTGAGAAAATCTGGCTGGCATATTTGCTGCCAACAATCCAGAGGACGAAAACACACTCTTAATAAAGGAGTGTTACCTTTGTTTGTCCAAAAAGAAAACTGAGGCAAGGAACAACTTTGAGTTGTGTCCTGCCAGGCAGACACAGCACTAGATGAATAGCTAGTTTTTTAAATAAAACCACAAACTCCTGAGCCATATGCTGTGCTACCAGACAATGTGTTTTATAAAAAGCACATCTGGGGACAGAAGCAGATCTGTGTGAAGAAAGTATTCACACTGTGCCTCTACTGATTACATTACATCTCTGTTAAGCAACTGGTTCAATTAAAATTTTGGATGAAGCTCTTGAAATAGCTGGTCACCAAAAAATGGGTAGAAAAATCACTGATCAAATCAGAAGGGCTTATGCTCCTAACTCAGTTAGGTGCCACTGTTTCTCTCATAAAAATAATATGTGGTGTTGCAGTATGTCAGTTCTCAAAACATTTCCTGTTGGTCTGAATGACACCACCTATTGCCTCCAGGCTGGCAGAAGCAATCAACTGCTTCATTCTGCTGACCAAAAATAAATCAAACCCAGAGGACAAACTAAGACATTGTTTAGGGCAAAGGAGATCAAGGAAGAAATATGAACGTTTTGTGAAAGGGTAATTTAGATAGCTGAGAAAGTGTGTGTGTGCTGGTTGCACAGCTATTTGTATTTAACTGGGGGTCAACCCTCCTTCGCTGCCTCGCCTATGTGAAAAAAATACATAGAAGAGATAAGAGGAGCTGAGAGTTTTACGGGAAGTTAATGTAAAACTTAGATGAGTTAAATTTTTCAGTTTCACTAACCATTCCAACAGGAATTCACCAAAGGGAAGCTCAACTGACTGTGTCGTCTGCTGTGTCAGTGAATGCCCAGCTCCAACTTCGTTCATCATACACTGCAGCCAGGCATGGGAATAGACTACCTAGGGAGGCTGTGGGTTCTCCTGCAGAGGTGGCTTCTAAAAGCCTGGCTAGACAAACATCATCCCGAGATGGGTTAGACGGGGCTAATCATAGAATATCTCAACTTGGAAAGGACCCATAAGGATCATTGAGTCCAACTCCCCGCTTTAGAGGAAGGACTGGGCCAGGTCAGCTCAAACCTCTTTTCAAAAACAGGCCATTAAAACCCAAACAAATATTCTTATGTGAACACATAACTAGTCAGCATATCAAATTTTGCCTATTTTTTATTTGATTGCAATGACAACCATTATGGAAATATTGTAAAATGTGACTATGGACTGCTTTCTCATAAACATCAGTAGTCCTCCAGTTTAAAAGCTGAGGGATACAGGGAGAAATGATATTTAAAAGTCCTTTTCAGACCTCTTTTGTATAGTTCTATAATGAGGATTTATTGTGCCATTCTGAAAATACACAAGTTTAAACTCCTCTAACTTATAGCTTGCTGCTGTGCAATCATAAAGGACAGTTTGTGTTTATAAAAAGTACAGAGCACTCTTTTGTTGTATTTCTGGACAGAAAAAAAGCATTCCAGCCAGGAAGGAAAAAAAAAAAGAAAAAAAATCAACAAAATATCAAATCTAGTAACCAAATACTGTAATTTAAAATTACAGGATCAGATTTTTTAAGGGTCTTCCTCGTGTTTATTCCTAAACACTCAGGGTTACTAAAAGTGACATTGCCTACTTACATAAAGCCTACTTATATTGGGGACTACTTCAGGGATTTTTTGCTCCCCACTCTGAAAGCAGCTGCACAGAATGTTGGCAAACGAACAACCATCTGCTTGGATTTTGCACCCAGCAGTAGAGAAGAAAAATGTTCTTACAAATGTAGGAAAATGAGTTTGGATAGTCACCAAAACCAGTCCAGAAATTGATGAACTAGTGATTTTGGTTATAAACCAACTAGATCTCAAAGCCACCATCTTATTAAAATAATCCTCACAATTAAAAAATGTTTCTCATCACGGATGGACTTAAACTTGCTTCCCTTGCAGCTGAAGCACTGAACACAGCTTTGACATGCTACATGAAATCTATGCTACAGCACTTGGAGCAGCAGGGCACGAATACAGAGACAGCCAATTTCCACCCGCTACCCACCACTCTACAACAAAGTCAAGGTAACCTCCATCCATCTCATGTTTCATAAAAATGCAATTTATAAAATCAATAGCTTATTGATTGGTTGGCAGTGTCTCTCCCACAACTTGAGCAAACAGCTATTACCCACGTGAGCTAAGTCAGACAGGAACTACTTCTGCACTCACATGACTGCACAAATGTTAGCTCGCAACCGCATTACCTGTAAGAGAAGGGGAATGATATAAGCAGGACTGCTTTATCTATCACGGCCACAGTTTTGTAGAGACCTGCACTTTCCGATCTATGACTAATTTTTCTGCTGTGGGGCAATTAACAACAGACATTTTACATTATGAGCATCCCCTTACAAAATATTTATTCAACATAAAAATCCAGAAACGAACAATAGACAAAAGCTTCAGGCTATTATGTGCCATTAAATCATTAAGTGCAGCAGCATTTGATCTTGCACATACTTGAAATACTTTGTCAGGCACAGTTTCTAATTAGTCTCCTGCGGCAGGACAGCTGTCCCTGTGCAGCTGAGGTGGAGACACCAAGGTGCTTGTGAAGCTAGCATACCATCCCCTCTCCAGAGGCAGAGCTTTCACTCCTCTGGCCAAGGAATGGCCACACACTCTTTGTACTTGAGGTTTCCAGTTTGAAGTATCCAATATCCAGGTGCAAGTCCAGTAACAACTCCTCCAAGATTTGGATCTTGCTGTCACCTCCCAGTGATTCCCACAGAAGAGGAAGCGCTCAGTATCATTAAAATTTGGCTCCTCCACTTAGGTACTCTGTAAGGTCCATCTTCTACAGATGCTTAGAAGCACCCATAACATGTATAATACCTGCTTCCAAAGGACGACCATCCTGATGACTGCAGGAACTAAAAGTTCTACAGACATAACCCTCTGTTTTCTGTCTCCAATCCAATGGGACTTCAGATAATCTACGTTTAAGGGCATCCACAAGGGATGATGATAACCACTGGGCTGTTTAGCAAGTTCCAACTCCAATCACTCCTACTGGGAAGAATGACATTTACTAGGATCATTTTGCTAGGATCACTTAGATGGATCAGAAGGAAGGAAATTCAGCTCATTTGCTCTGTCCCTTCTACTAACCAAATTTAGTAATCAGAAGAATTTCTCATGGGAAAACAAGTGGCTTAGAGGTTGATAATGGGGAACAGTTTCCATTAAAGTTGCTGCTTCTGATCCAGTCCAGGCTAACTCTTTGTTGCTTTCTGTTGCTTCCTCTGTAAAACAAGTGGAGGAGCTTAACACCCATCACAGAGACGCATCCATCACAAAAGCCACTCGCATCAAACAAGAGCATTCTCCACCCCACACAGCATCAAGCCCACAAGGGCTGAAAGGGAGAGAGAGCATGAGGCAGCACATGAGACCTGCACAGCCAGTTCGCTTGCTACATGGGTTAGAGGAGGTATTTTTCTCCGGGGCGCTAACACTGTGTACAAGTCAGCAAGAAAAACATTCCTGCCTCACAAAGAGTACCTGTTCCACCTCAATGTATAAAAAAATGTGAAAAATGCAATGCAGTTTGTACCACATATTTTTTCCACATCATTGGGACTCTCCAAAGAACAGGGAACCTGGAAATAGCTGTTCCCAGGAGGTTAGAATGGGAAGGGCAAGATGAAATACAAAGAATTACACTTTTTTCCAAACAGATCTGGTATTGTAATTATCGATTTGGAAGATAAAGAATAATAAATACTAATTACCGTTTTAGAAAATCCTCTCATATCCTTTCAGCCACCTACCAAACACTTTAACTGCAAATCCTCAGGAGAGGTATGAGTAAGCTGTAAAGCTATCCAGTGATGTGATGCAATCTATTTTTTATACCCTTGCTGTCTGCCTTTAAAATTTGCACTAGTCTAATCCAAAGATGTTATAGAGAAGAATTCCCATTAATGGACAGGGAGCCTGTCCTTCCCTAAAGCTGATTCATCTTTCTCTTCTGTGACAGACAGGCTGTAAATCTCTCGGTGTCCCCCACTGTAGCTGCATGTTCTTCAGGCTTTTAACCATCCATATCTGTGAACTTTCTTTTCCCATAATTCTGGACCAGACTGGAAGCTGTGATTTGAGAAGCCTGTCCCTTTTCCCAGCACTGGAAGTCATTCAGCCCTTTCTGGCCAGCTCGAAATAAGGCTCGTTCCAATTCATCCAGCCGAGCCACCAGTGCTGATGTGTCTTCGTTGTAGGCATTCTGAGAGGAGTCCATGATACGACGAAAACGGCTAATAAATGTCTAAAGAAGATAAGCAGAATTACTGACAGGTAACACAGAGGCTTCTTCAGCTCAAATCCTAGATGCCTGAGCTTTCAAGACTAAAAAGCCAAAGGTGTAGGCTCTAGTTCACAACTAGTCAAGGGTCTGCAAACAGCATAGCACCTATTAACCTTGGATACAAAGACAAACTATTTCCTGCCTGAGCTGGGAGAGCAAGTGCCTGGATGGCAAGCAAGCACGGAATTAGATTTTGGCTGCTTCCTAATGACAGGCTTGAGTAGATCACAGGGTATAAAACAATTACGATCTATTCCATCTCACTTCACAAGCAATCATTGCTTTACAGCGGGTGCAATGAATCTCATGCTACAGCATCTGCTGTAGGAACATAAAAGCTGCAACTTCTAAACAGCCTAGAAGTTAAGCCAAACTGCCACTGTAAAGCATTCAGTATGCTGAAAAAACACTTAACTACAAAAAAAAGTCAAAAAACCAAAACTACAACTAACAAATAACATTTTAAAAAGCTAAGCAACAAGACATATTTAAGGATTTTTATTTCTCTCCTTACCTTTGCTTTTGGGAATAAAAAAAAGGGGGAGTCAAAACTCTTTGAAAGCTGTGCTTTGTTATTTCAGAAGATGCTTTTAGAATCATCAGAACTGTAGTATTTTAAGAGATTTACTTATAGAATAAATATATTATTAATTTATAACTCTCATTTTGGCTTTGTCACCAAATAGCTCTGCTTCACATTTATAGTTCCTGAATATTTGGGAGAGGGGCTTTTTTTATGTTTTGTTTCTTTTTTAAGTCAGCACAACTCCCCTCTTGTTTGCTTTTAATAAAGAGAAAGCATACCTTGCATGCTTTGATTTTTCTGCCAACAAGTGATGTGTGCTAATGTGACTTTTTTCCTAAGATGTCCATTAGCAGAAAGAGAAAAGAGAAGGAAAGATGTGGTCACCTCCTCAATACAGAAAGCAAGCTTTCAGTGGACAACTCCAAGAAAGCAGCAGTGCTTTACAGCCTCTCTGCATCAGCCTTCATTTAAAGAATAGAGAAAGAAAAAAAAAAAAAAGGAAAAAAAGCCAATAGCAATCATCCCAGACTACTTAAGAGAACTGGCTGAATAAATCTCAAAGCTGTTAGTTGTTATTTTTAAAAGCTCAAGGAGCACACAAGTCCAGAAACTGACAAAGATGGTATCTATCTTTTAAAAGAGAAAGGGGAGATGGAGAGGGAGGAAGGAAGAGCCAGGGAATTATAAATCTATCAGTATCAATTCCTGGAAACATACTGGAACAAATAAACTATACATAAACTTCTGGAAGAAAATAGAAGAGTAACAGCCAACAGGGACTTGCCAAGAACAAACTTTGAGAGACCAGCCTGGTTTCCTCTTATGGCAGGATGCTAGGCCTTACAGAGGGAGGAAAAGCAGCAGATAGGTATCTGTCATGGGGCATTCTTGGAAGATTTAGCCAAACCGCCCATAGGTGGTCGGTAAAGGCAATTATCCATAGCTCCTGTCAGGATGGAAGAACATATTGCGTGGAGTTCAACAGGGGTCTATCTGGAACCGAGTACTGTTTGATATATTAATTAGTAAGCTTACTGAAGGAACAGAAGTTATGCTTAGTAAATTAGCAAACAACATTAAGGAGAAGGAGGAGGGATGACAGCAAGCATGTTGAGGAGCAGAACTCTTAATTCATAATGATCCTGACAAATTAGAAAGATGGTGTGAAAACAACAGGATGTAATTCAGCTGGGACTAATGCAAGGTTTTACAGTAAGGAATAAATAGGGAACAGGACAAACGCATGAAGAGGAATTATTGTCTGTATATGCAATCTGTACCATCTTACAGTGGACTGCAAACCGAATGCATATCAATGTCACTCTATCGGGAAAAACAAGATGCTGCACCACAATGAGCAAAGAGCATCATGGCCTACAAAACTGACAAAGTAATCGTTTTGTTTTCATCAGCGCAAGTCCTGAGCTGGAGACTGTTATGTTGTTAGGGCACTGCGTGCCACAGTGGATGCAGATCAACTGGGAAGATACCAGCAGTGCACAATAAAGACAATCAGAGGTTAGAAAGCATGACCCACAAAGAGATACCAAATGAATTGGGAATGCTGCAGGAAGGAAGAGAATAATCTGCCCTCAGTGTTTACTTTGTATGAGACAAACAGAGCTTGTATTGCTGCGAAGGAGCTTTAGTTCCAACATTAGAGGAAATCTTCTAAGATTAGGATGGCAAAGCACTGAAACAGATTGCCCAGAGCAGTGTGAAGCCTCATGATGACAGAGCTTTAAAAAGAGCATAGGAAAATAGAAATAATAGAGGGTGAATTAATTCTGCCTTGCAGCACGGGCACGATTAAATAACCTTATGTCTCCTCTAGTCCTGTTTTACAGGATTTTATGAAATACCATATTTACAGTGTGGAAACTCCAAACTAAAATTACACTCCTGGATGCATACTTGAGGCTTCCAGCACTAGACTGTGCAGTTGCCAAAAGGGCCATCCTACAGCTTGATCTAAAAAATCCATATTCAATCCAGAAGTTATTTGGATTAAATCAGGATATTTTTCCTGAACACTGCTGAGCAGCTGGGAACAAGAGGAAGACGGAAAAACGTAAAACCAAATTTCAAGACTTAGTTCAGATACTTGCCTGCAGGATAGTCTGAGCTATCTCAGGATTCTCTGGATTGTCAAAATTCAGGAGCTGGGAGCCAAATCCATAGTAGTATGGCCCCATTTTATGCAGATCAACCACATTGGCATCAGCGCTGAACACTGTCCTCCAGGCTTCCTTGTAAATCTTTGGCAGTTCCACAGAAATGATTCGTCTTTTGCTGTCATGTAGACCTTTAGCAAGCCACAAAGGTATTTCCAGCTTTGATCCCTGCATGAATGAGGAAAACCAAAAGTTGTCCTTGCCATGAAAATACACGTAAAGCAACCCCAAAGGCAGACAGTGAACTTTATTAATGAAGATCCACTATTACAAAAAGTCAGTTGTTTTCAGAACAGTCTACTGTAATTGTTACACAAAACAGACACACTTTAGAGACAGTAATTATTATCGCAAGGCTCTGGAAGTGGATTTTTTTAAATTGATGCTGTATAATCTAATAATTGTCAGATTACTAAACACCAGGAAAAAAAAAACAAACAAGCAAAATGCATACAATAGAAGTAAAAATAACTTTAAAAAAAGTAACTAGAAGCTAAAATTTCCTTGCAGTGTCCCCAACAATAGAAGGCCGCTGGGGCCCGCCCAGGGCCAGCAGCCACGCCGCCGCGCTCCGCCCAGGGCAGCGCCCGCCGACAGCTCCCAGCGTCCCCCACGCCAGCTGCGCGCCCCGTCCCGCCCCGCGCGGTGGCTGCTGGGGGGTGGAGTTCTT